GCCCGAGCTTTTTTTCGGGCTCGGCTCGACTCGTTGACATAACTAATTGGAGTACCCTGATGTTTGTTTCTCTTTGAAAATAAAGATAACAATGTTCTTCTTTTATTGGAAGAAGGTTGATCTTCTTCCATATTAAACTTAAAAGTATAAATATCAAAATACTTCAATATCCTATAAATTCCTATCATATCATATGTAATAAGCACAAAGTTCTCATTTTGAAAATTTAACATGGCTAAATTCCCAAATTAACATTTCCTAAATAAATTTCTAATTTAGCACAATCTTTAATACGCCCCTTCAAGCATCTTCACCAAGACAAAACTAGAAAATTAGCACGATTATCTCTACTACTACATATAAAGATAAACATATCCATCAAGACCCAATTTTGCCAAGTATTGAGAATTCTCCGCAACTTTTATGGCCTATTGACAATTCTAAATGTCCATCACAGATTCACATGTGAACAAATAAAAATCACAACTTTTATCCCTAATTTTCACTCAATCATTGAATCGCAGCTAAATAAAAATCATTAAAATACATCAAATTGAGTATAAGTTTGTAAAAATAAATAAATTGAACAAATAATTCGAGACCAAAACAATTTCAAAAATAGCCCAACTGCCCAAGAATATTTCAGATTTCAACCTATCACAAAAAAAAGAGAAGAGACAAGATATTAAGAGTAGTAGTCAGTTAATTCACCATTAATAAATCATAAAACTACAGTATATGTCAAAGAGGTCATGGATTTTCATTTACCGATTTTTTTACCTGAAGAGACAATAGTGAAGGGTCTGATGTCGGCCGAACAAAAGAGACAGAGGGCCGACGGTCGTCTCTAGGGGTAGTGAAATACTGAAAGTCTGAAATCGTGCTGATCGCTGAAGATTCGGACTTCGGCCGTCTCAACTGCTCTTTTTCGTCTTGATCGAGTGGATGGGTAAGAGATGTATTATTTTTATGTCTTCTGCTTCAGGCAGCCATGGTGTTTCAGTGCATTTGCATCAGATGTGTGATTTTTGAGAAGCTGAAATTTCGACGGATGGAGGTCTTCTCCACGGGGCGAGTGAAATTTTGAAGGCTGAAACTTGAAAGTGAAGGTGAAATCACTGAAATGGAAACCAGAAACCGTGACAATAAATGGGTGAAAGGGTTTGGGAATTAATTATTTCAATTGGGTTTTCAAATGAGATACAATAGTGGGCTTGAACAGTGGGCTTGAATGTTGAACAATAGTGGGCTTGAACCAATTTTCCTCTATTTTTAAGGGAAAATTAGGCCCCATACGCTAAAAATTGGCCCAATTAGAATAATACTCTAAATTAATTAGGGGAACTAAATTAAACACCACAAAGCCGTATTAATTACGTTCTAACTTATAACAAAACCCAAAATCCCCAAACCCCAGCACCCTCGTCTGCAGTCGCCCAAAACAAAACCCAAAATCTCTCAAATCCCACAGACATTGCACGCTTATCTCCAGTCGTCGGTACGATAATAGTGGTGGTGCTGCGGCGGCCAAGTCCATGTTTCGACCTACTTTCTTCTCATTTCGTGGATATCTTAAACTCCAACCCTAGAAATATCAAATAGTCGACCTATTCATTCCGACACCGACTTCGATACCAAAATCTTATTCCTATTTTTGCAATGGCTGGAGAAAGTGTGTTGAAGAGGAAAAGATACATCGATGGAGAACCATCTTCAAAGAAGAAGAAATCGTATAAACCCAAGGTTCATTTTTCGGTCATTGTCGCTCTACAATTGTTTTGCTTGTTTTCGGATAATTATTGCTGTGTTCGTTTTCTTGAACGGATTTGTGAAGTCATTTTCTTGATGGCTATGGAAATGGTATGCTTGTGTAAGAGTATGTGCTAGAGTAATGTGCTTGTTCTTGTATATGTTATAGATCCTATATAGCTACAAGAGTATGTGCTGGAGTAATTTGCAT